TCTACAGGCTTCAAAATAGCTTCCAATAATTCCAAAAGCCGCCTGACCCCTCTGCTCAGGGGGCCTCCCGCCTCCCCTGGAGTGAAAGCTGGGCCCTCCGTGAGGCCACGTCCCCTCCTGGCCTGGCCCCGCTGCCTCACCCAGCATGTCCTCCTGAGCCACTCAGGTGGACCTCCCTCGCTGCTACCCCCTTTCAGCAACCCAAACCTGCCACCTCGCCTCCCCTCCCAGGCCTTTGCACGGGACAGTCCTCCCCCAGGTGATGATACGGTGGCTCCCTCACTCCCTTCAGGTATGCTAAGTGTCACTTCATCGGAAGGCCCTCGCTAACTGCTCCACACTGTCGCTCGGCCTCCCTGCCCGCCTTCTCACCCTAAGCACCAGGAAGCAGAGCGTGAAGGATGCGGTGCGTGCAGCGCCCCAAGGTGTGTGGGGTGCCAAGCGAGCTACTACTGCCTGGGAAGCGCGTGCCACCTGCTGGACACCTGGAGGGTTCGCCTTTCCTGCTGCTCACCCGCCGCCTGGCCCCTCACTGGAATGTCACGTCCACGGAGGACGGCCCTGTGCCCACTGCTGAGTCCCCAGCACACGGAACGCTTGCCATGCAGCAGGCGCACAGTGGCCGCTGCAGCCACGCACTCGATGTGGTCCACTAAATACAAACCTCTGATTTCTTGATTTTGTTAAAATCAAACAAGAGTCCTAACTTGCTGGGCAATGACTTGGTGCTGTCACAGTGCACATCGGATCCCTGGCTTGTTGCTGTACTCGGACTCCTGTTCTGGATGTTCAAAGCGAAAATGAACACGTGAGAGACTTTCTGGTTTCCATGGAGATACACATGTATGCACATAGGGTTTTGATGAAGTATTACTTACAGTAAATACACACAGAGTGGCCTGTTTGATGAGTTTTGACCTCTACACCTGTGAAGGCATCGCCTAGGTAAACAAAACTTTCCTGTGCCCCGTAGTAACCCTTGTCCCCCAGCCCTAGGCTACCACTGTCTGCTTTGTCACCACAGGTCACTGCACTTTCTAGAATTGTATATAATTGGAGTCACAACAGCATGTACCCTTTTTTGTCTGGCTTTTTTGGTTCATCCATGCTGCTGCACGCATCATGGGTCATTTCTCTGCTACGTCATACTCTGTGCTGGTGAGTATTATGATTTGCTTATCCTGGACATTGGGAATGCCACGTGGAAAACCAGAAGGAGATTTGATCAGACGGTTTCTGAGGACGGTCCCTGGACCAGAGCGTTCACACTCAGAGTCCATGGTGATGTCACCCATAAAATCACGGATAGATTTAAGGTGCACATTCATTTCCCTCAGAGCAGAGCCCCAGACTGTGGCCAGTGGCCAGGCTTCCCGGTGACCCAGAGGCCGTCAGTCGTACCCTCCAACTGGAGGGGGCCCCTCTGGCTGACGGCGTGGCCTGCGAGGTGCTGAAGGTGAACACGCAGCTGTCAGCACACGAGGAGCCCAAGGTGCAGCCCTGGTCCGTGGCGAGTGTCTCCGGAGCTCAACAGAAGGCTCCTGTGCCTCTGAAGAGTCTCCCAGCTGTGGGCTGCTGCTGGCCCCCACGACTCGCCCTTGTGGCTCCAAACGAATGGCTCAAAAATCAGAACTCCTTCGAGCCCACTGACCTGAGACCGCCCCCCGAAGCTGGTGCGTCTCAGTTTGCCTAGCAGCTGGATCCTGCAGTGAACCCCCGACACGGCGCTGGCTCCCCCAAGCTCTCACGGCGAAGCCTCGTGGCTAGCCGGTGAGCAGGCCCTGTCCCCGGACCCCGCTAACATCTCGGGCACACTCGGCAGCTGTTCTTTGGCATCTTCACTCTGGGACAGGCTTTCCACCCTCGCGAATGCCAGGTCATATAACAAAACATTTCCTAACACAGCATCTCGGGTGTTCCCAGCCTCGTGGTCCCCCCAGCGTGCTGCTAGGCACTCCGACCTTTATTACACTGTCTCCTCTACCGTGGCTCAGAGTCCCCTTCCTGGGTTGTGACCAGGAAGGACATTTTCCCTAACATAGAAAAGAAAAACAAAATGTGAACAGTCCTTCTTCCTGAAGGGTCACAAAAGCCCGAGATACTTTTGATGGTGGTTTCACCAACGCACAATAAAACCGTGCTCTGTAAACTTTAAGATGTTGTTACCTGATTCGTCGCCGTGGAGATGTTTCCCTGTTTGTTTCCGGATAAGACATCACTTGGAAAATTTAAATAGGAGCTAGACGTTTGGTCAGTAACAGAGATGAATGCAAAGCTTAAGAGAGCTTCAAAGAATTCCAGAAAAACCAGCTGAAGGGAAAGAAAACACGGTCATTCGTTCTGGCACACCTCCAGCTCAGCACGCCATCTCACTGATCGGTTCTGTTCTCCAGAGAATACTAACACCTCACACCAGTTTGCAATAAAACCTACAGCATTTAAAAGATTTACCATGATATATGTCCCATCATTAGATTTGTAAGTCATTTTTCTATTTTGATGGAAACGTGTTATATTAGCTGATTGAGGACAGTCATTTTCCAAAGCGCTTCCTTTTTTTCTTGAACGGCTAGAAAAGTGGCACCTGTAAACCCAAGTGACAGGTGCAAGTGGTACCCACTCGGCAGCTGTGCCCCTCCTCTCCACCCTTGTGTCCCCGACACAGGCCTGGGGCGTACCCGCGTGTGGGGCGGGCTGGCTTAGACTGTGATCATCCACCTGTCCTGTCTATCCATCTGGAACCCAGGGCCCTTTCAGTCTGAGCCAGAACAGGCCCACTGACTTGACCAGAGGCTCCAGGCCAGCCTCGGCCTGCTTCCGGGGTCTGCTCAGCATCTCCGGCAGCGCCAGCGTCCCCCAGTCTAACAGCTTCCTGAGACCCACCAAAGATGGGTCTAGCTGGTAAAGTAAGGCATTTTCCTGCTACAAGAAATGCTAAAAATTAAAACACTTACACTCATTCACTGGGGATGAAGTAGCGTCTTTGAGTATGAGACACTGTGCCACAGAAACATTAGGCATGTAGTAAATTGCTAAATAAATGATCCAGGACACACTATTGTAGTTTTATGTTCTTTTTCATTCATTTCCTAATATGTGAAATATTCTTTTTAATCTCTAGTTTTCTAATACAAAATATATATATATATATATATAGTTTTAAGTATTTGGGTTAGAATCCTTTTCAATCAAATCTTGCTTCTTGGTATCTAAGGAAAAACAAACAGCCTGAAGTGGATCTATACCATGTGTCACCTCTTTACAAACCTCAAGTTCAAAGTTGCTGTCAATTCCATCATGCATAAAAGGGTTGTCCTCTGCTATGATCTCCACAAATTTGGTTGCCGTTAATTCTTTATTTATTATTTTAAAGTCCTGTAAAAGAAATAACCAATAATACCATAACAGCCTATAATTACAAACGGCTATTTTAATGTCAATTTATATCAATACCACACTTTAAGAAAATGTACCAGAAATGAATATCTTAAAACTGATAATTCCGTAAAGCATGCTGGGTTAACGCTGTTATTTACCTCTCCTCCTCCCCTAAGCCTTCTAAACTAACAGTAAAGGTTTCTTTAGAGGCATGAACGCCGGACAGGTGGGAGAGCAGATGATCCAGATCGAGACAGCTACACAATTCTGTGCGTGGGGAAGTGCTGGCCCGGAGCACTTAGCAGGACAGAGGGACAGAAAGCCCGGGGAGTCGGGAGGCAGGCCAGCCTCGCTGCAGGACCTCTGGAGAAGGGGCGCCTCTGACTGATGCTGCGGGTAGGGCCGAACACAGGAGGCTCGCTGAAAATCTAGGCGAAGACCTCTTTCCACAGCCCAGCTGAGAACAGCAG